AGGGGGGGGGGGGGGGCACCACGACGGTGACTGCGAAGCCTAGCTGCAGCTCCGCGAGAGGCGAGGGGCCGCTCGCTGCGACGGAGCTTAGGATTGCCGCGCTCGGCAGCAGGACTGTGGGGAGGAGGCGTAGGCCGCCGCAGCGCCGCCGCCGCGCGGAGAGGGCGGCGGGGGCAGGCTTGCTCGGGAGCGGCGGCGGGGACGGCGGGGCCGAGGGGGAGTCGGCCGAGGGGGACACGGCGTCTTCGGAGGCGATGGAGGAGAGTAGCTCGTCTAGTCCGGCGTCAAGCCCGGGCTCGTCGGGGAGGAAGGTGGGGAGCTTGTCTCCGGACGAGTAGCTCGGCCCGCTGGTGGAGGGCGAGTGCTCGAGCCCAGCTGCGTCGAGCCCACACTCGTCGAGCAGCGAGGCGGCGCAAGGCGAGCCGGTGCTGCTCGAGCGTCCAGTGTACGGCGAGGCGGGGCGGTCGAGCAGCGAGGCGGTGTCCGTCGCGGAGCTATGGGAAGCGAGCGGCAGCGGCACAGCCGAGTGCGCGAAGGGCAGAGGCACGACAGGAATGAGTGTGCGGGAGATCTGGAAGTCGACGCGGTCGCCGAAGTTCGAGAGCTCGGCCAATCCGGGCAGCGGCACCGGGCTCTCGTCCCGCAAGACCACAAGCTTCGCGCCCGTGCAGTCTGCAGTCTGGTTCACGACTCGGAACGCTGGCATGTGCGACGTACGCGTCGGCTCATTCCAGACCCCACCCGTCTTACGGTTGACAATCACCGCGCTGTCAACGCCGACCGGTATCCGAACCCTCGACACGGGTACGCTCACGCCCCTCTCCCTGCATCGCCGGCAAAAGTGCTCACGAAAAGCATTCTTTGTGTTTGGCGGCAGCGCCTCGCATCCCAGCTCGCCGCCCGAGATGGCGTCGCCCCAGCACATCTCCTTGAATTGGTGGCGCTTGCGCTTTGGCGATTCGGTGGACGCAGTGCTCGCGAGGAGCGTCGTGTCGAGCATCGCCACAGGTTGTGCCAGCAAGACTGCCTTTGGGCGCTATGCGAGATCGCCGTCGCAACGGGGGTTGGGGCCGGGGTTCCGGTGACCACCCCAACGGCCCCCCCTCTCATGGCTGACCCTGGGCATGGCCTCTCATCCGACAGCCAGGGTTCGGATTTTTTGCGGGATATGGTGAAAAATTGGAACCCAGCGCGCCTTGGCTGCTTTGTGAGGATTCGCCGCCTCGCTTGGAGATGATCTGTACATATGGTACCCGCGCAACCCACCTCGAGACCATACCCCCCGCCTGCTGACAGACCCAGCCTCCCGGCTGCCGGCCTCGGGCGGTCAGGAGTGTGTGTGTGTGTGTGTGTGTTCGTATCAAGAATACTCACTCACTCACTCGGGCGGTCAGGACCATACCCCCCCACCCTTTGGGCCGCGAGGGTACCAACCATACCCCGGAAAAAGTTGGAAGCCAGGTGTGTATTCTCGAGGTTCTCGAGGACGAGGTGGATGGATATCCTTTGGCCGCGTTGGGTAGCGAGCATTGGTGTGACGCGATCCACGCAGGCGTGTTTTCTGACGGCCGACCGTCAGTGCACGGAGTTGCCCACAAGTTTCGCGGGAGTGACCCCATGCGTCAAACCCGCGACGTAGCGCGGGTGGGTTGGAGAGGGCTCGCTGCAAGGAAGGGCGGTGGAAGAGGCCGATCCTCGTAGTCCGCCCCGTTCCTCCCCATCGGGCCGCATGAGCGGCCACGCCTCGCAGATTCGTTTCTCGCGCCTGGGTCAGGCGCGCGGGGCATCCCCCGGGAGTCGCTCGACCAGCGATCCGAAGAGTGGCCGCTATGAGAGGGAAAGAGCGGGGCCCTCGACGCCTCTGTCCGGCCCTCCGAGGGGGGGAGGGAATTGCGGGGTCCCCACGGGCGCCTCAGTTCGGCCCTCCCGAGGGGGGGAGGGGAGCAAGAGCACCGCGGGTTAACAATTTCTTCCTTTTCTGGATGCTGGGCGATCCTTTGCGGTGTGCGGTGTGCATCCATTCGATTCGACGACTACTGAGTCGATGCTCGCCTACATCGTTCTCAGCTCAGTCACGTATGTGGTACCAAGAGCTGTCATGCTCGCCAAGCGAGTGAACTCGCCGGTCATGGCCACTCCAAATCAGATGCCTGTCGCACAGCTGAAAGACGAGCTGGATGGTCTTGGCGTCCCGTGGCGTGGCGTGGTGTCCGAGAGGGAAGGGCTCGTCCAGGCTCTCGAGGAGGCACGCAGGAAACAGGCGCCGTCGTCTCCTCACCATGCTGCGTCGCCCATGCATAGCTCTGCGTCGCCCATGCCACGGGGCGCGAGTCCTGGCTTTGGCGCCGAGTCGCCCATGCCGGGTCGCGAGAAGGAGTACGAGTCCTACAAGGCAGGCACCGCTGGCGCCCGGCGCAGCTTCTACGACCTGCCGAATGAGGACTTCCGGCGGCCGTATGGCGCCGGAAGTGCTCCCGCGTCCCGCGACGGCTACGCTGCGCCTGCGACAGCACCTTCGGCTGCCAGTCCAGCCGGCGGAGCGCAGAGCGTCATTCTGCGGACGAGCGCGGCGGGCTCGTTTGGGCTGACGATCAAATCGGAGTCCCAAGCTGGCCGCGCACGAGTGATCGTCACGGCGATCGCTCCCGACTCGGCCAACCTGCGGTCCGGCCTCGCGGTGGGCGACGAGCTCGTTGCCGTGGGAGGCGCGAGGACGGCCGGCAACTACGAGGCGACGATGGGCGCGCTGGCGGCCAGCAAGGCGGCGCCGGTGCGGTGCGAGGTCGTCCGCCGCTCCGGACAGCCGAGCGAGGCCGCGCCGCCCGCCTACTCCTCCGCCCAGAGTGCTGGCGCATCGGTTTGGCGGAGCGCGGCGGACGAGGCCACGCACGGCGGACGAGGCGGAGGGGCTGGCCCCCAGCCGCACGACTTCAAGGAGGAGGAGTTTGGCGCAAGGTCACCCTCCGAGGCGTACCAGGCATTCAGGGCGGAGTACGGGTCTGGCGCAGGGGCCTCTGCCTCGCCCATTGACCCCGGCCACCGCGGCCGAGAGAGTTACGACGCGCCGGGCGAGGACCGGTCGCCGCAACGACACCCGGACGACTGGCGGGCGATGCCACCGCCGGGAGACCCGCAGGGGCACCGGCAGGGAAACCCGCACTGGGGCAGGGCGGCGGGCGTGGCTGGTGGCGCGGATGCCTCTCACCCCTTCGCCACCCGCGACGCGGCTCCCGAGGCGGCGGGGGCGGGTGAGGCCCAGCAGGAGAGGATGGCACTGCTCGAGCAGCAGGGAGCCATGCTCGCGGCGGCCCTCGAGGCGGCGACCCTGCGCGTCGCCGCTGTCGAGGCGCGGGTCGCCCTTGTCGAGGCGCAGCAGCACGGGACGCCGCAGCAAAAGTACTCGCAGCCGGAGTATCCGCCGCAAAGCATGGCGCAGCAGGGCGTGCCGCAGCGAGGCCACTGGCAGCGTGACGGCGGCCCGGCCACCAGACCGCAGGCTTCCAACGAGGCGTCCGCCACGGCCGCGTGGTTCGCCAAGCAGTGAAACGAGTGTTTGGGGTGTTGTCTAGGTAAACAAGGGAAACCGGCCAGGGAGGTGTGAACTGAAAATTTGCGTGTCTTCATCGCTCTGACACTTCCGGGAACTGCCGCTGCCACCTCCCCCCACGATGGTCGCTGTGGTCTACTGGTTTCGAAAGGTGCGCGCGTGCTCGTCCGTACTCTTGCCTCCCCGCTCCTTCCAACCGCCGTCCGACCCTAGGCGCTGCGCCTGCACGACAACCCCGCGCTGATCGCCGCCGCCGAGGGCGCGTCTTCGCTCTACCCAGTCTACTGCCTCGACCCGAAGACCTGCTCGCGCGCGCGCGGCGCGTGGACCAACCCCAACCGGATGCGGTTCCTACTCGAGTCGCTCGCCGACCTGGACGCGTCGCTCCGCAAGCTCAACTCGCGGCTCATTGTGCTGCACGGTGACCCGGTTGAGGCGCTGCCCGCCGCCTGCAAGGAGTGGTCCGCCTCGCGCCTGGCGTACGAGCTCGACTACGAGCAGTACTCGCTGCGCCGCGACAAGGCCGTGCGCTCGCAAGCCGAGCAGGCCGGCCTCGAGGTGGTGACGCGTGTCGGCCACACGCTGGTCGACCCCGAGGCGCTGCTGCTGCTCTCACGTGGCGCACCCGTCACGTCGTACGACAAGTTCCGCGGCCTGCTCGCCCAGGAGCTCAAGGCGCGCCCCGTCACGACGCTGCCGCCGCCAGCCTCGCTGCCGCCGCCCGGGCGCACCGCTGCTCCCCACGCCATCCCCTCCCTCGAGGAGCTCGGCCTCGAGCCGATGGGCGACGCGGCCGTCATCGCGCGCGGCGGGGAGGGCGCCGCACTCCGCGCGATGGAGGCGCACCTGCGCCGGCGCGACTGGATCGCCAGCTTCGAGAAGCCAAAGACCTCGCCCACCGAGATGCTCGCCGGCGGCCCGTTCGACGCGGGCGCCGGCCGCTCCACGACAGTCCTCTCGCCGTACCTCACCTTTGGCTGCCTGTCGAGCCGGCTGCTCTACGAGCGCGTCGCCGCCGTGTACGCGGAGGCGGCGCCGCGCCACTCGCAGCCGCCCGTCTCGCTGCACGGCCAGCTGCTCTGGCGCGAGTTTTACGTCTGCTGCATGCACGCGACGCCAAACTACCGCCGGATGGTTGGCAACCCGATCTGCAGGCAGATCTCGTGGGGCGAGGACGCGGCGCTGGTGGCGGCGTGGCGCGAGGGGCGGACTGGGTACCCGTGGATCGACGCCGCGATGACGCAGCTGCGGCGCGAGGGCTGGATCCACCACCTCGCGCGCCACGCCGTCGCCTGCTTCCTGACGCGCGGCGACCTGTGGCAGAGCTGGGAGACGGGCGCTGCCGTCTTCGAGGAGTACCTGCTCGACGCGGACGAGGCGATCAACTTTGGCAACTGGATGTGGCTCTCGTGCTCGTGCTTCTTCTACCAGTACTTTCGCTGCTACTCGCCGGTCGCCTTTCCGCAAAAGTACGACAAGCAGGGCGCCTACGTCCGGCACTGGCTGCCGCAGCTCGCGCGCCTCCCGGCAAAGTACATCTACGAGCCGTGGAAGGCGCCCATCGCGGTGCAGAAGGAGGCGGGCTGCATCATCGGGGTCGACTACCCCAAGCCCATCGTCGACCACCAGGCAGCCGCCGCCGCCACCGCCGCCGCCCCCGCCTCAGCCCGCCCCCTCCTCGCCCCGCCACCGCCCTCGCCTCGGCGACACCCGCACGACCCGCGCCCACACGCGCCAGCGACACGCTCCGCAGGTGGTGTCCAAAGAGAATATGGGGAAGATGGCCGAGGCGTACGCGGCCCACAAGGCGGGCAAGGCGGGAGGGGGGCCCGCCGCAGGCAATGGCAAGCAGGCTGCCGCGGCAGGCAAGCAGGCGGCGGCGGGTGGCAAGCGCAAGCCCGCGGCGAGCGGCGGCGGCGGAAAGCAGAAGAAGCTCTTCTCGTGACTGCCCACCCGCGGGCCTCGCCCCAGGGGTCGGCGTCGATTTGCGCACTCTGGGTTGCGCTCCGAGGAGAGTGAGGAGTAGGACGAGGAGTAGGACGGTTGTGAGAAAGTTATGTCTTGTCATGCTTATGCCATATTATGCTCTGTGTGTGTGTGTGTGTTTTTGAACGAGTGGGCGGGCAGGCTGTCTGTTTACAGGCGCCGTCCGCCCGCGCGCGCGCCGACCCAACTCCGAGCACGCTCGCTCGCCGCTGGGCGGCGCGCGTCCACACTGCGTCGGCAACACGACGCAGGAGCTCGCTCACTGCTGCTGCGGCGGCGGCAGCGACGGCGACTGCGAGCTGACGGCTGACGGCTGTACGGCTGTACGGCTGACGGCTGGCGGCTGGCGGCTGCGGCGAACGGCGACGGCTCGGTTCGCGTTCGCCCCGCGACGGTGCGACTGAGCCTGCCGCGCTCGATCTGGGAGCCACTCGGCGCCAGTTCGAGCGGCGGTCGGCTCGGCCACTGCGGGTGCGACGCATGATAGAGCTGCTGGGCGCCGCATCGTGTACTACCGACCCACGCCAAGGCGCGGGGCGGTGGTGCTCGCCGGCGCTCGCGGTGCTTCGGTGCTCGAGCGCGCTCAACATTGTGGTCGTTCAGGGCGGCTCGCACAGCGCCCGCAGGCACACACACACACACACACACACACACACACACACACACACACACACACACACACACACACACACACACACACACACACACACACACACACACAGCCCCTTCCCCTTCCCCTTCAAGGGCGAGGACACGCGCAGGGGCCGCACCTCTAGCGAAGCCCACAGAGTGGGAGACTCCTATCACCGCCCTGCCACCCACGTGAGCCTTTTGGCCGCCTCTGTCAGTGTGCCCGTGGTAGTGAGAGACTGCTGGTGAGAAGCCGGAGGAAGGTCGCTAGTCGAGAGAGATCGCCAGTGGAATAGGGAGTCCACCGTGCTGCGAGCCTGTCGCTGTCCCTTGTCAGGAGCAGGTGAGAACTAGGAGAGCGCAACCAGTAGGAGGCCCGCGCCTGCCCCCGTGCCGCCGGGTGCAACCTGTCCTATACGAGAGAGGAATCCCTGGGACCCTGTCGTGTGGGTGAACCCTGCCCAGCCCCCCTCCGTGTCGCGATGCGCTCCCCGCTCCCGTTCCCCTGTGTCCCTGATCGTCCTTACAAGATCCTGCTCGTGCAGGTGGGGACCCTGTCCTTCTCCCACCCCTCGTTTGGCGTGCCCGTTTTATTTATTTATTTATTTATATTATGCACGCGAAAATATCGACGACGCACAATGGTCAATGCTAAATGGTGATGGTCGAAAAGAGATGAACATCGCCTGCACACACTGCGACACAACAACCGGGGCAAACAAAATCACACGGACCAACGTCGAAAAAAATGTTGTACCTCGAGGTTACAGGGGGAAACAAGAAGATCCCGTGGTGTCAAAAGGGTCGCATACCCAAGCTACAGAGGACGGGATTCGAACCCGCGCCCCTTACGAGACTGGAGCCTTAATCCAGCGCCTTAGACCAACTCGGCCACCTCTGCATCTGGCAACGAGCTGCTGCCAACTGCGTGAACGAGCGCTGTGAATGCTCTCGCACCCGCAGCTTCGAACCAGCAGTCACTTCCACGGCACAAGGCCATCGTCGTGTTTAGGCAAACATGCTCGCTGGGCTTGAAACGCTGACAACGCAAGTTGCTTATATTGATGTGTCTCCACCAATCTCACCGGAAGCTCCGCGCCCACTCTCTCGAAGGGGTGACAGATATGCGTATCTCGACTGCCGTGTTGCGCCGTTCAGAGTTCGCCGAGCAGCGGTGGGCGAACGGGCTCGGTGTCACGCGCGAGATCGCCGTCGACCGCACGCCCGATGCCGCCCACCATGCACAAAATGCCGCGCCCTTCCGTTGGAGACTTTCGATGGCGGATCTCGCCGCGCCAGGCGGTCCCTTCTCCATGCTGCACGGCATCGACAGGAGCCTGACGCTACTCGAAGGTACTGGCGTTACCCTGGCCGTCGATGGAGCGGCGCCGGTCGCGCTAGAGATAAACTCGCCCTTTGCTTTCCCTGGCGATGTGAAGACCGACTGCAACGTGGGCTCTGCAACGGGGCGAGACTTGAACGCAATGTGGGACCGGAGCCGCTGTACGGCGTCGGTTAACGTCGTCACCGCCCCCACAGCGGTCGATTTCCCCGTCGAGTCGGCAGTGGCGTTCGCCGTGGCCCTTGCCGATGAGGCCTCTTTAGCAATCTCTGGCAACGACAGTGGAGCCGACTGCATACCAACGCTGCTTGCGAAGGAGGACGCAATGCGAATGGACGTCGACTCCGTGGGAAAGGACGCGGCTGGAAGCGCGACGCGTTCGCTACAGGTCCTCTCCGGCACGGTCTACGTGGCATTTTTCTGTGCGGAGTGAGGGGGCGTGTGGAGCCGTGATATCCACGATCAAGATCAGGCAATCGCGGAGGAGCTTGCTGGAGATGAGCCTTTGCGCGCCCTGTCTTCTGTGCGCGTCGCGCGTGCGGACGAGTCACGAGAGTTGCCGGGTTGGGGCACGGAAGGCGTAGAGTTTGCGGTTTGAGTTCGGCGTGTGTTTAGGTGTATGTGGCCGCCGGCGGGTCGCGCGGGGGACCGCGCGGGGTGGGGCTGGGGGCTGGGGGGTCGGCAATCGGCACCCTTGTGGTGGGAAAATGTATCGACTCTGTGCAAAGCCGGTACGGCATACGAGGGGAAATGGCGCAAGTGGTGTATCTGGCGGCGCCAAACTCACGCGGCTCATTACACTGCACCGAGGTGTTCGTGAAACGACGACGGGGGCTCGTGGGGCCTCCTAGCGTCGCTCGTCGCGAGGCTGACGCGGTGTGACCGGGACGCCCGACTGACGGGACCCGACAGCCCACACGACCATCAAAGCGGCGCACCCCCAGCATTGCTCGCGCACTGCTTGGGGGGAGCAGGCAACTCGAACCCCCACACGCACACGTCCACGGTGCCGTTCGCAGTCTTTCGCACCTCCGTCATCTCCTCGGGCCGGTAGCACCATCGGGTACTGAACAACCTCTGAAAGAGGGTCGCGAGCACCGGCTGCTCGGACGTGCAGCCGAGCAGACTGGCCGCGTCTTCCAGCGACACGTGCAGCAGCGTGGGCTCGCGGCTCGCTGCGAGCGGCACCGCCGGCGGAGGCTGCCGCCGCGACCAGCGGCCCGCCGCCTCGCGAAAGGCTTCTCGCAGCCGCACGTCGCTCGCCCCGGCGGGCAGAGAGATGGTGTGCCCGTGGGCGAGCAGCGCGCCGTGCCTCGGCCCGCGCGACGTGGCGGAGTCGGACCGCCCGCCGCCGTCCGGCCGCACAGTCGCCGAAGAGACAAAGAAGGGGGCGCTCTCGCGCAGCCGCTCGAGCCAGGCGGCGGTCCGGTACGGGAAGCCCTCCTCGGGCGGCCCGTCTGGCCGCGTCGGGCCTGCGCAGCGCGGGCGGGCGAGGCGGTTCGCCTCGGCGCCGTGCCAGCCGCCGATGGGCAGCAGGTGGTCCATCGGGCACCGGAAGGGCAGCGGCTGCGTCGGCAGCGCCTGCCTGCCGATCGTGCACTCGGTGAGGCGAGCCCAGTAGCGGTCGCAGTAGCAGTACAGGCGCGGCAAGACGACAGTCCGGTTGAGAGCCCGGCCAAGCGCGACGCCGGCGGCGAGCCGCCGCAGCAGCGCGTTGACGTGCTCGACGTGCTGCCGCCCGCGGGCGTGCGGGTCGCGCTCGCCGTCCCACGCGGCCGGCGGCGGCAGTGGCGCGTCGTCGTCGTGCAGCACGAGCAGCCGCGCCTCGCCGGCGGGCGGCGCGGCAGGGCGCGCGACGCCGACGTGCCGGTCGGCGCCGTCCGCCGCCCGGGCCGCCGCCTTGCGGGCCGGCGCCCTCGCCGCGCGCGCGCGGTCGGGCTCGGGTGCCACCTCTGGTACGGCGAGCGACGCGAGCAGGCTGTCGTCGGGAACGCGCCAGAGGCCCCACTCGCGGAAACGCTCGCGCTTGCCGAAGGCGCAGTCGGCGAGGTCGCCGAACTGGTAGGTTGCGTGCACGGCCATCGGCTGCACGCCGGTCTGCGTCTGCAGCTGCTGCACGAAGAAGGTGTGGCCGTTGGCCACCAGCGACACGGGCATGATGCCGAAGGTGAAGGCCCGCGAGACGCCCGGGATGCAGACGTCGTAGAGGTAGCGTGAGCCGGTCGCGTGCGGGACGCCGTTGGGCCGCAGCGAGCGCTGCCCCATCGTCGACTCCTCGCTCGTCGTCGGCGGGAGGCCGCAGTAGTCCTTCTTCCTCTGCAGCCACGCCTCGCGCTCCGCCTCTGTCGACGCGCGCCGGTGCCCGCGCCTCCGGCCGCGCAGGAGGTCGTCGAAGGCGGTCTGGTCCGTCTCCCACGCCTGGAAGGCGCCCGCCGTCCGCTCGGCCCACTCCCCCAGGAAGGCGGCCGACTTGTCGTTCGGCCGCACCACGAGCACGCCCGTGTTTCGGTCGATGAGCGTGTGGAAGCAGCCGTCGTCCTCCACGTCCCACTCGGCAGAGACGCAGTCCGAGGAGGCGAGGAGGTCGGCGTGGGCAAAGTCGGCCAGGCCCGGCAGCGTGCCCCGCACCATGGGCGTCGGGTCGGACAGCCACGCCACGTCGACGTCCGACACCACCACCGGCCTCTGCCCGAGCCGCAGCAGGTAGGCGACCGCGTCGACCTTGGACGCGCCGAGCGCGAGGAAGAGGGTCGCGTTGCCCCGCACGTTGGCGCGCCCGCCGAGCCGGGCGCGCTCGGCCGTGAGCGCGCCGGTGAGCGCGCCGCCGCCCGCGAGCAGGTGGTGCACGCCGAGCTCCTCGCAAAAGGCGGCCGTCTCGAGGTCGATGGCCGCGACGACGGCGGCAAAGCGCAGCCTCTGGACGTGGAGCGCCCAGTTGTGCAGGAGCTCCGTCACGGAGGAGGAGGCGAACGTGACGTGGAGGATGCTGTCCCGCTGGCCCGGCAGCTGCGAAGCGACCGCTCCGGGCTTTGGTATGCGCAGCGCGAGCGGCGTGGCGGCGGCGGGTCTGGCGGCGGCGGCAATGGTGGTGCCGCGAGGAGCGGTGGCCGAGGCAAATTGCCTCTGGAGCAAAAGACAGGTGAGGGACGTGCTCACGAGCACGGCAGCGACCGTGACTTTGAGCGCGGATATCATTCGGACCCCGAACAGCGCGGGCAGCGCGGAGAAGTCCGGCGCGAAGTCTGGGGTCCAGTTTCTCCAATTGTCTGTGCAGCTGTGAGCGCTGTCAGAGCGGTGTTTCGACACCGATATCGTTCAAGGAGAACGCTGATTCAAAATCCGCTGTTCACACTTCACAGGTAAGTGTAAGCGGAGCAGCTGAGTTGATACAGCGAATCCTTTGTGTTCACACCTGCAAAAACAGGTGTGAACCGATTTCGGCCTTAGCCGTCGGTATGCCAATAGCGTGCTAGCCAAGTAGTACGCAGTTGGATTCCGAGGGTGTCCCATCACAAGTTCGGCTGCCGACAGACAAGATTGTCCCTTAGTCGACAGCACCCGCCTTTGGACGGTGCTCTGACTGGCTTTGAGAATATATTTTTTCTTTTTGGTTCACATGGTTAGAGGTTGGCCTCCCACCGTTGTGAACATAGTCTGGCCCGAAAGAGCCGCTCGTCTCTTGTCCGGGCAAACGCGCGCCCGATAGTGTGTGTCGCTCCAGCGTGCCGTCATCTTCTGTCTTGCGTCCACCCATACCGCGTTCGTGTCCAGTCCGAGTCGGGCTCTTCACCTTCCCATCCATCCTGCAGCCATCCAACACCATCCTTCTCCGGGCATAGCCTTTCGGCTCGTGAATGAAGGGTCGGTGCGTGTCGTGACCTCCTGGAACACCCGTACCCCCGCACCATCTCCGTCGCTTGGTTGCTTAACCTTGCCACCACCGGGAGCGGCCAGGACTCATAGACTCGGTCGAGAGACCCCAGATTGGCATCCATGCCTTTCTGGACAGACAGGGTGGCCCGCCACAAGGACCCCAGGAATTGCGACTCGCCGCTTTCCTCCCGCTGTGATTCTGTGTGAGCTCTGTGTCTTGATTTGCCAACAACAAACCTACAACCTTCACGGCGCTCGACGATGGGGCGGACCCTCACACAGATCACAGATCGCCTTCTGCAGGATGACGCGGAGGGTGGGCACCGGGACTGGGAGGAGGACCCGCTCGGGTTCGACACCAACCCGATGCTGCTCCGCGCCATGTGCATGGCGTTCGAGTGAACGCCGTGCAGGCAGCCCGTGCCTTTTGGTGTACCGCGTTTGTACCGCGTCCTGTGCCCCTCCTATATCTCCCTTCGCAGTCCCTCGCCGATTCTCGCTGCAACCTTCATGCCACCTCGCGGTCGTCCCACTCTCGTCGTTCTCTCTCCTGTGCTCCCTTGCTCTCGCTTCTTCTCTCGCCTTTCGTCGCAGCTCTGGCCTCTGCCCTCCTCGCGGCATATTTTGGCCCCTGATGTTGGCGCTAAGAAAGAAAGAAAACGTCGAACCCAAGGGAGGGAGGGAGGACGGCACGCCGCCACCACACAGGGATTTTAAGGAGAGGAGTGTGGTGCTAGCCGTCGCCCACCCTTGGGCGTCCGCCTCTTCCTATCTCTCTGATGATGTTGGCGCTGGGGTCCCCTCTTGCTCGCAGTGTATTGCGACGTTGTGGTAAAGCCAAGCCGAGACCGCGACGACGCGTCGCCCCGCCAACGCCTCGATCTTCTTCGGCTGCAGCTGGCGCTGCTCGTCGCCGTGGCCCAGCTTGCCGAAGAAGATCAGCTGCTGTGCCTTTTGTGGTGCTAGTTCGTGCCAGTCTGCTGTGAGAGGGGCTGTCCGCCTCTTCCTATCTCTCTGATGATGTTGGCGCTGGGGTCCCCTCTTGCTCGCAGTGTATTTCTTTCAGCTGCTGTGCCTTTTGTGGTGCTAGTTCGTGCCAGTCTGCTGTGAGAGGGGCTGTCCGCCTCTTCCTATCTCTCTGATGATGTTGGCGCTGGGGTCCCCTCTTGCTCGCAGTGTATTTCTTTCAGCTGCTGTGCCTTTTGTGGTGCTAGTTCGTGCCAGTCTGCTGTGAGAGGGGCTGTCCGCCTCTTCCTATCTCTCTGATGATGTTGGCGCTGGGGTCCCCTCTTGCTCGCAGTGTATTTCTTTCAGCTGCTGTGCCTTTTGTGGTGCTAGTTCGTGCCAGTCTGCTGTGAGAGGGGCTGTCCGCCTCTTCCTATCTCTCTGATGATGTTGGCGCTGGGGTCCCCTCTTGCTCGCAGTGTATTTCTTTCAGCTGCTGTGCCTTTTGTGGTGCTAGTTCGTGCCAGTCTGCTAAAGAAAGAAAGAAAGAAAACAGACACGCCAAACGAGGGATGGGACGAGGACAAGGTCCCCACCTGCACGAGCAGGATTTTGGAAGGACGATCAGGGGGACAGGTGGGGCTCTCCTGCTCCTGACAAGGGACACGACAGGCTCGCAGCGCGGTGCGCGGTGGACTCCCACATCCACTGGCGGCGGTCTCATCTCAGTCTAGCGACCTGCCTCCAGCTTGTCGCTGGCAGTCTCTCGCACATGCACACTGACACAGGGGTGGCAGGGGCGGCGGCACGAGTCTCCCACATAGTCTGCTGTGAGAGGGGCTTGCGCTCGTAGAATTCTTTCAGCCTTCAGCTGCTACCCTCCCGTCTGGCTTGCCGCTTCAGAGATGCCCAAGAAGAGCCACGGCAGCCTCCCCTCCGGGCTGGGCGAGCTGGTCAAGCTCCAGAACTCTGGCATCCTGACCGCCGACCCGACCGCCCACCAGGGCAAGCGCGAGCGAAAAAAGCCGGAGCTGTTCGTGGCAAACGGCGAGCCTGACCGGCCAAAGCGTGTGCAGGAGCCCGCGCCTGCACCGGCCGCCGCTACGGCTGGCGCGCGCGCGGCGTCGAAGCGTGCGCAGGAGCCTGCGCCTGCACCGGCCGCCGCTACGGCTGGCGCGCGAGCGGCGTCGAAGCGTGCGCAGGAGCCTGCGCCTGCACCGGCCGCCGCTACGGCTGGCGCGCGCGCGGCGTCGAAGCGTGCGCAGGAGCCTGCGCCTGCACCGGCCGCCGCTACGGCTGGCGCGCGCGCGGCGTCGAAGCGTGCGCAGGAGCCTGCGCCTGCACCGGCCGCCGCTACGGCTGGCGCGCGCGCGGCGTCGGTGCCGCCCCTCCGCGCGCAGCTGGCTCGCACCGCGGAGGAAGGCGCCAGCACTAGCGGCTCGGCGCCAGACCTGACGGCGTCCAGCGAGAGCGGCGGGCCGTCGAGCCCCCTCGCAGAACAGGCTGCGGAGGAGCCGCCGCCTCCGGCCGCTGCGGAGGAGGCCGCGCCGTCGGCTGCGAGCCAGGCGGCCGCACGCGAGGCGCCGCCTCCGGGCGGCCGCTCCAAGCCGGGCAAGGCGCGGAGCCGGCCATTGGCCGCGCCTGCCGCTCAGGCGGCGGCGGCGCCACCGCAGCGCAAGCGGTCCGAGTCGGCCGGGCCGTCGGGGAGTGGCGAGGGCGCCGCCGACGAGGGCGCCGCCGGCCCCGAGGGCTCGGCGGTGCAGCGGCAGCGCTCGCGCCCGCGGGCTGAGGGACGCGAGCCGGCGCGCGAGGCGCGCGACGGCAAGCCGGCGCGCGGCGAGCAGCACCGGGAGAGTGCCGCCAAGCGGACGCAGCTGATGCGCGGCCTCGAGCCGGTGCAGCAGCTCTTGATGCTCGGCTTCATCCCGGACGAGGCGGACGCCGACGTGTGGGCCGACTTTGGGACGCTCGCCAACGGCAAGGTGGAGATTCGCCTGTCCAAGGTTCAGACGATTGTCGGCGAAAACGCCCTTGGCCGCGGCCTGTTCGCGTGCCAGGATTTCGCGTGCAACGACATCATCACCGTCTACGGGGGCGAGCTGATCACCGACGACGAGGCGCGCGTGCGGCGCGACGCGCGGGGCTCGCAGTCGCACCGCTACCTGATGCGCATCTCCGACTCGGACTACCTCGTGGACGGCTGGCAGTATGCGTCGGGCGTCTCAGAGACGCCGGGCGAGCACGGCGTCTTCCTCCCGACCAAGGCGCACGCGACGCAGTTCTCGCAGGGGGCCGGCCCGATGGCCAACCACGATATTGGCCTCGGCGCCAACTGCCATATCTCGTACGTCCCGCTCGCGCGCTCGGAGGCTTTCCAGCTCTTCCCGCGCGTGCCGACGCTGCGCGCGATCCGCGAAATCAAGGCGGGCGAGGAGATCAAGTTCAACTACGGCTCCGCGCTGCCCTTTTGCCCGCAGCCGTCGCTCTCGGTCACCGCGGCGGCCGAGGGCGCCGACGCCTCGACCGAGGACGCCGGGGAATACCTCGAGCTCTCGCGCTACTGGTCAGACCTGGAGTGGGAGGCGGTGGGCGTGGACGCGGGCGTGCTGCGCGTCGCGCTGTCCGACCTGCGGACGGCGGCGGCGGAGCTCGCGCGATACCGCGAGAAGCACGAGGCGCTGCAGCGCGTCGTCAAGCTGCTCGAGCCCATCCCGTCGGACTGCCCGCTGGCGGCCGAGGCGTCGCGCCTCTTCGAGACCTTGCGCGAGCTGGCGGACCGCGTGCACCGCAACGTCAGCTCGGTGCTCCACAAGGAGACGGGGAAGGACCCACGCCATGCGGAGTCGGAGCAGGGGCGGCAGCAGCAAAGCTTCAAGGAGGAGCTGCAGGCGATGAGGCAGATTATGAAGGAGCGCCATCAGGCGCTGCGCGCAGGGGCAGCGGCTGACGCGGCACCGCCGGCTCTCAGCGACTCGGGTGACGCGGCCGACGACGGTGCCGCGCCGGATGGGGCCGATGCAGACGGCGCGCCCGCATCAAAGCGGCGCCGGGCTGCCCCCGCCAGCAGCAGCGGCGCCGGCGCCACGGCAGCAGCGAACCTCCCGCCGAACTGGAGTGTGGAGGTGCGCGAGGGGAGCGCGAAGCGGTACAACGTCTACCATGGCCCAGCAGGGCTGCGGGCCGTCTCTGTGCCCGATGCGTGGCGCAAGCATCGCGGCGAGACCGAGACCGCGCCGGAGCCCGCTGCTGCCGCGCCCGCGCCTGCTGCTGATCCCGCGCCGAACTCCGGGCGCATCCGCCGGCGCGACATCGTCGAGCCCTTCGCCGGGCCGGTGCCAAAGGAGCTCTGCGACTACAACCGCGCGCCCGTGCCGGCGAGCGGGCTGCAAGAGGAGGCGGTACTTGCGGCGCCCGCAGCTGCGGCCTCCAAGGCGGTGCTCGCACCCGCACCCGCACCCGCACCCGCTCCGGCGCCGAGCTCCGGGCGCATCCGCCGGCGCGACATCATGGAGCCGTTCGCCGGGCCGGTGCCTAAGGAGCTCTGCGACTACAACCGGCCCGGCCTCTCCCTTCTCGCAGACCAGGACGTCAGCATGGCATCCCTCGCTGAGCAGTCTGGTGTCGCGCCCGCCGTGGCGAAGCAGCCGGGCGCAGGCAAGGCCTCGATCGAGACCGACGCTCCGGCGCCCGCCGGGGAGCCCAGGCGCGTCGATCTCGCCCGAGATGGGCGCGGTGGTGACGACGATTGCGCCATCATGCTGAGCACCGCGCCCGTCCCCGAGACGTTGCCGGAAGCGGGCACAGACAACATGTCCTCCCTTGTCGCCAATGCGTTTCAGCGCTTCCGTACCACTACGCAAGGCAAGCAGCTGCCTCCGCCGCCGCCGCCGCCACAGCCGCCATCCGCCGTCCTTAGCACCGCCGCAGCGCCGGAGACAGAGCAGCTTAGGTACTCGAAGATGCAGCAGAAGATCAACATGCAGCAGCTACAGCAGGTTCAGTGCCAGATCCAGGGATTACGCGAGGAGCGGGACGCGCGGGCGTGCGAGGTCCAGCGGGTCGTGCAGCTGAATTGGGTCGGCGGGTTTGGTGAGATGCATCAGCGGATCGCACACGAGCAGTCGATGATCAACAACGACTACGTGCTGCGGCAGGGCATGCTAGAGCGGACGGCGCGCCAGCTGCAGGAGCGCGTCGCTTGCCTTGGGCGCGACATTGCGTCACTCGAGGCAGGGAGGCTCTCCGGAGGCGCTGAGTCACACGCGACGCGATCCGGCGGCTTGGCGGGGCCGCAGACAACGATTCGGACGCGCGTTTCGCAGTTCGAGCGCCGATTCCTCCTCGCCCGCCCCCAGCCTTCCGCACCGAGCAGCTTGCAGCGTGTCGAGGAGGAGAGCGGCGCGCGTCTTGACGTCTCGTCGGCGTCCTCGGACAGCCACGTCGAGATCCTGATTTCCGGCTCGCACTTCGCTGTCGGGCGAGCGCAGACAGCGCTGCACTCCCTCATGCGCGGCATGGCCCGAGCGTCGCTGCGCAAGGGGCAGGGGATGCAGTCGGACACCAGGCAGGCGGCGAGCGGTCCGCCGCGACTGGATCAGGCGAGTGCGCAAGAAGTCGTCGCCTTTGCAACAAAGGAATCGGGGCCGAGATCGGTGCCGCCGCCGCCAGCTCCGCAGCCGCCGCCGCCACCTCCGCAGCCGCCGCCGCCGCCTCCGCAGCCGCCGCCGCCGCCGCCGCCGACATCTTCTCCTGTGGATGCGGCCATGGACAGCGGGGCGGACGCAGTGAAGGGCGTCGAGGCGGCCGCGCCGGGCGGCGTGGCGGCACCGGCGGGCGGCGAGGTGGCATCGGCACCGGCGGGCGGTGAGGCGGACGCGGCGGGCGGTGAGGCGGACGCGGCGGGCGGCACAGTGGCAGCGGCGGGCGGCGAGGTGGCAGCGGCGGGCGGTGAGGCGGACGCGGCGGGCGGCACAGTGGCAGCAGCGGGCGGCAAGGTCGAGGCGGAGGGTGGCGACGCAGCTGAGGCGGGGTGCTACTCGCCGCGCGCCGACCAGGCGCCAATGGGTACGGAGACGGTGGCCGCCAAGCCGGCCGCGCCGGCGCCAGTAGAAGCCGCGCCGCACTCGCCCTCTCCAAGCAGCAGCGGCGATCAAGCGCCCGAGGCATCGTCGCAGCCCGACGTTGCAACCGAGCGAGATGCCGTGGCGCCGTCCATCGCCCTGGCGCCGCTCGCCCCGGATGTCGATGTGCCAGCAAAGACAGGTGCGCCCGCTGTGGTCGCTCCCGCTGCGGCAGCAGGCGTCAGCGACGCTGAGGCCGCCGCTGAGCTGCTCAAGGCGACGCGGCGAGTAAGCTCCCCGCACCTCCCTCCGGCTCCGGAGGTGCTGGGTGCAAGCGCCGCCGCCGCAGCAGCAGCTCTCGTTCCGGACCCACAGCGCCGACCCAGTCGACCCAGCGTTGCGGTTGGCGACTCGAAGCACAAGCTCTTCAGCGATGCGCCTGCTGCACCCAAGCCTTTCAAGGGGGTCCGCAAGTCACTTTCCATCCGGCTCGGTGGGTCGAGCAAGGGGGGCGCGGCGCCGGCGCCGGCGCCGAAATCCGAGCAACCTCTAGCAGTGCCACCCCACAAAGCCGCGGTGGCCACAGCGGCGCATTCTGACGGGGCAGGTGCGCCGGCGGTGGCGAAAGCGAGTCTGTCAGCTGCTGAGCGGCGCTTGGCGCGGCTTGCTCGCGCCACCGGTGGGGGAGAGGCCGATCCCGTGCCGCTGCAGCCAAGTCCTGCCAAGAAGCGCAGGACGCTTTGAACTAGTTACAGTACCTTGGAAGTCATTCATGTTCGATGTCTTGGACGTCCTTGTCCCCCTCTGTCTCTCTGTATCCATTGCGCCTGACTTTAATATGTTGCTGTGTCCCATGGTCTTCTTCTGGTTTTGTATTATTCAACACACTAACAGCTTTATGTTGTGTTCGTTTTGAGCGCGTCGAGCGCACCCCGCGCCGCCCCAGGCTACTCCCGCGGAGGTGGCCCGCGCCCGGCCGCGGGGTCTCGCGCAGTGTCGTCCACACCCACGACCCAGCGATTGTCCAGTGACCACCCAGTGAGGGCAGTGTGGCGCGGACATGTACGTGTACTACTACTAGACGGCTAAACCGGGCGCTGTATGCGCGCCAACCGCGCCATCTCTGTGCCGAGTCCGAACCCGACGTCTCGGCCATTCATCCATCGGGTGTAGTCTCATCATAGCTTCTGGGCCTTAGCCGACGAAACCTTTCAAATAGCCCATGATGGAAACGGCCCACTCGCTTGACTTCGTCAGGGGGTCGAGCGGCTCCTCCTGACAACGGCAGTGCGAGTTTATAGCAGGCGTGAGGTCGGTGCTAATGGCGTGTGCACACTCGCCTCTTCCTCGGCTGCTGGCGCTGCAGCCGTCGGTAAATCTCGTGCTGCAGCCGTCGGCAAATCTCGTGCCCACAAGCCGGTCGGCATTCGACCCATGATGCCGCTCATGCCGAGACCAATAGTAACGCCCGCATCATACTTGCAGCCATTCTCGCTGCCCTGTGGCATGAACTGCATCTCCAGCTTGTCCCAATCCAAGCCCTGCTCCTCCATCACCTCCTTGGCCTTGGCGAGAATCTTTGGCAGGCCCCCTTCGTCCTACAAGTGAAAGCTTGCCCCTCAGAATCCGGGTTGGAATCGTGGATCATATCGCGCCTCGAATGTGGGCAGCCTCGCTCGCAAAGACCTCTCTTGTCAGGATCCACACATGGTGCGAGTACATGCTGGGCCATGACATCATCGTGTTGTAGTAGCAGTTATAGACGACCGCCTGGCGGAAGCGTCCATTTCAGGCCAAGATTGCCCCGCACGGAGCGGCCGAGAGTGGAGCTTAAGGGCGTGAAGTGTTGGGGCATCATAGGACGATCACATACGACGTGTAGTCGGTGGCCAGGATCTCGTACGGTGCTCCAGGCATGTCGGTGAACCAAGTCTTCGGGTCATAGTTTTCGACGCCAATGAGCTTGCCGACGGATGTGTCCACGGCGTAGTCGAGGTACCCGGTTCGGAACTTGCGTGTCGAGAGCTCGCCAGTCAAGACGCGGACCTTTTGCACGCCGCTATACACCTGCGCTTGATGCGAGAGCGTGGTCGGAGCATGCGCTTGGGAGGAACATCTGTGCAAAACTGCGTGCAATGGCAAGTGCCTTCCAGGCGCCCTTGAACATGCCGAGGAAATCGATTGTGCCCGCCTTGAGGGTGATTTCAGAATCGATGCAGCGCGACAGCGGGTCGGGGCGGTTGAGGTAGGCGGCAAACCAGTGCCCATCGTACTTTTTGGGTTCAAAGTCAGTCACGACGTCGCCGCTGTGTGCTGGACAGGAGCCGAGGTGCCAGTACTCGTCCATCCTAGACGCGGGGCGTCGCAGCGCTGTGTAGGAGAGAATGGCGAGAAGGGTCCCTCCCAGGAGCAGTCCTCCCGTCAGACGGCTGCGAACAGCACGCGGCCCCGATATCATGGCTGCCGTCGGCGAGAGGGGACGGACGCAACTCGTACGTACTTTTAGCTTACTGGGAGAAAAGAGAGAGGGGGTTGTCTCTCAACTCGTAGGTTCGAATGGAGAAGTGTGTTTGTGTGTGTGTGTGTTTCGTATCAAGAATACTCACTCACGCACGAATGGAGAATTCTAACATCACCTGTACCTGTGTCCGTGCGCCTTCGCGTTTCCCCCTCGCCCTTCCTTTATTATACACCGCTCCTCGGGCTCCCACCCACCCCCAGCCGCCAGCCGTCTAGGTAGGGGGTGATTGATTATTGAGGGGCCCGAAAATCGCAAACAATCGGCCCCTCTACCTTCTATCTCCTCACGGGGCGGTGCGGGCCCGCCCCTACCTACCTATGTGTCAAGTGTCTCAAAAAACCGCTATCTATACTCATTTATTCACGAGGCGACCCCAGCGGCCCGTGAGCTCTTGTCCCTCTGTCGTGCTGTGAAAACAGCAGATTTCCACCAGGGTTCCAACTTTTTGCGGGGTATGGTATGGTAGCCTCGCGGCCCAAAGGGTGGGGGGGTATGGTCCTGACCGCCCATCCCCGGTCTCCGGGAGGCTGGGTCTGTCAGCAGGCGGGGGGGGTATGGTCTCGAGGTGGGTTGCGCGAGTGTACCATACCATACCCCGCAAAAAGTCCGAACCCAGGCGCGGCGGTGGGGCCCGCGACGGCGGCGGAGCGGGCGGCAAGGCGGCCGAAGACCGGTCAGTACGCACTCGCCGTCTCCCATGCTGGGTGCTCCGACCGCGATTGCCCTCAGCCGCGAAGCTGTCGCGCTCACGCTTGCGTGCCGGCCGGCTGATGCTCGGGCTGCGGCCGCCTCGGTTGCTTCGTGCATCGCACGGGGCGACGGTGGCATTGAGGGCCGCCACGCCATCGATGTGAGCGGCGCTCGAGCTCGACCATCGTCACGAGCGCTTCGGGCACATCGTCAAGAAACGTACCCTTAGGTGGCGTTCAATCTGGCGCTGGCCGGTGCGGCCGACTCACCAGCGCTGGATATGCTCGCCGCGACCGCCGAGGCTGAGCTTCGCGAGCTCCGATGGCGGCGGCGCGGCTGGTCCAAGCCACGGTCGGCGTACACTCTGGTGCAGCTCGCCGAGAAGGCGGCGGCAGCTGGCCTCGCGGCGCCGCTCGGGCTGTTTGACATCATCGGCGAGATGCTGAGCGAGTGCGGTGAGTATTCCGAACTGGCTACGGACCTCCAGGCCGGCCGCTTTGGCCTCTCGTCGCCGCGGGCGGCGGCCTGGCTCTACCGCACCGCTCGAAAGCAGCCCAAGTGGTCCATGGGCGACGCCAGAGCTGCCGCGCAGCCTGCGGCGCCATGCGCGAGGCTGCCGCGGGGGGGCTCGCCTCTCGTGCTCGACCTGGGGTGTGGCTTTGGTGTCGGGGTGCTCACCGCTGCCGCAGCGAGCAGGCGCGACGGCGACGGCACTGCGTTCGTCGGCTGCGACCTCAGCCCGCTTGGCGTGGCTTTCGCGCGTGGCGTTGCCCGGCGTTGGCGCCTTGGCGACTCTGCCGCCTTCATGCACACCGACGCTGCCTCCGCCCTCGCCGCCGCCGCCGACGACCACCGACCACTAGCCTCGGCGCTGATCGCGTGCCCGACGCCTTACGCGGCAGCCGCGGCCGACTCGCGCAGCAGCGGCAATTCGCAGCTGCCGGAGGGCCTCGAGAGCGACGGGTTCCTCGGGCAGCCTCGACTGTTGCGCGCGGCGGCGAAGGCTTCGCCGCCATGCGCACACCGCGAGCCGCCCCTCGCACCGGTCAGCAGCAGCTCCTCCCGCTGCCTGTAGGCGATCGCGCCGGGCGGGACGCTGCTGCTCTCGTCCAACGCGGAAGACGTCGCGGTTCGCATGTCGGAGGCTGCGCTCGCCGCGGGGTTCGGGTTGCGGCCGGCCGCCGCCTCTTCGCCTCACCACTCCGCGAGTCGCGACGCTCTCCTCTCGCGCCGCTCGCGCCGCTGGAGAGAGGCGGGAGGCCAGCGGGCCGTCGGGGGCGCGTGGCGGATCGGCGCGAGTGGGTGGGAGCGCGGCGCGGGGGGAAGGTGGGGCGGTGCCGCGCGGGCAGTGGAGCGGCCAGCTTGGTCCGAGACCGAGCTGGCGCACGCCGTGGACCGGGCAGCGCTTCACAGGATGCTGCTTGTGAAGCCAGACGACGCCATGGCGCCCATGGCCATGCCAGACGCAGTCGGTTAACTAACCCAGCAAGGACCCCGTGTTGTTGCGGAAGTCACCACACTAACCGCCTGTTTTTCAAATTCAATGTACGTGTACTTTTAGCTTCCTGGGAGAAAAGGGAGAGGCAGAGGCGCGATTTCTAGGCCCTTGGGGGCCCTGCCACTCGGCGCTCTCTCAATGTATGTGGCTCTATTACGTACACTCCCGTAGGAGCACTGATTTTTTTGCCGAAAACTCTTCAAGTTTTGCCTTTTCTCGAGAGAGATTTTACCAAATTGTGAATTGTGTGCTAGAGTGCATATGCTGTCCCGCGTCCCGGCGGCCAGCCACAAGTAAACGAAAAGGCCGCTGCCTTGGTTTCCCGCGTTTCCGCGGTCGAACGCAGGCTGAACCTGCTACACTGCTGGCGTCGAGCGTCATGTCCAAGACTCCAACGACGTACGGATACACCGCCCAAGGCACCCCCATTTTTGAGCCCATCGTCACGAGCCCTCTGTTCGCAAGTGCTACGTTGACTCCTTTCGATAAGACTGTCTGCACCGCCGCAGCGTCTGTGCATCCGTACGTCTGTCCACCAGTGTACTCTCCTCGCACATCTGTCGGCGCGACATGCAACCCGAACGATATCGTCGTCGGGGACGAGGTCCCCATCCAGATCTGCGTCCAGAACGAGGCCGATATCCCACCCGGCCAAGCTACTCCTGAGAGTCAAAGCTTTGAGGATTATGTATCCTCAAAGTATCGGGCGCCAGCGGAAGCTAAACTGATGGCCGGCACCAACATCGAAGTCTTTCTCGCCGCCACGACCTCGTACGGAGACAAGTCACATCCGGGCGTGCTAGAGTACGAGGGATTTGACCCCGTGCCCGGCACAAGTGCCATTTTCGAGATGGGTGCCGGTGACCGTTGCTCGGACTCCACGGCCTGCGGGATCATGACTCTCACTAGTCCGCTCACGCTGCCTTCAGAGGACGGCATCAAGAAATGCCTCGGCACCATCCGAACCAGGGCGGTTGGCGTGCCTGAGATACTGCCAACGGGGGGCGGACACACAGGCGTGTCTTCTTTCCTGCCCCTCATCCCAACGAACCACCTTCTTCGGACAATCTACGTGGGTGCTGTCACCCGCGGTACGTCTATGCTCATCACCGACCACCGCTGTTTGAATGGCATCACCGCCGCTGCCCAAGGCTTCACCATTGCGGTTTTTGCAGATCCGCCATCGCCGTCACCGCCTCCAGCAACTCCTCCTCCAGTGCCACCGTCGTCACCGCCTGTTTCAATTGAGAAGGACCCGCACCTGCACTTTGCACACGGTGGTACGGCCGATTTTCGCGGCTTTCATGGCCAGCTCTACAACTTCTTCTCGGCGCCCAGCCTGGCCGTCAACCTGAAGACAGAGCATGCAACGTTTCCGCTGAACGAGGGGCGTCTCATCGTCAACGGCTCCTTTATCACCGAGTTCCACTTGGTGGCACGCGTTGGCACGTGTCGTGCGGGCTCAAGGTACTGCATCGGGGGCACCAAGAGGAAGTGGGCAAATTTCTCGCTTTGGGCGTCTGAGCTGAACGAGGACACAGCCCAAGCTCTCCACACCCAAGCCACCATAAGGAGGAGAGCTGCACCTTACCTGGCCTGACTGTAGGACAACTGGGGCTGGCAGGTCATCAACGGCTCCTGCGGTAGCGGTTGGCATAAGCTTGGCAAGGGCGGAGCCAAAAAGTGTGAGGAGCTCGAGATAATGATGCAAATGTCGACTGCGGCTTTTTTGCTGCCAAACCTCACGGTGCGTCATCAGCATTCCACTCGGAGCTGGGTGACTCGCCGTCACCCAAGGCTCTGGACTAGCGTAGGTGAGCGTGAAGGCGCACAGCACCATGGCAATTTCGGGACCAGCCCATCGACTAGATGTCAGCTTCAACGCCAGAGGGGACTACGCGGCGCGCAACTTGCCTCACGGTGCCTCGTAGTTGCCTAGTTAGTGGGAGGCCCTGTTCCCTGAGCAGCCTCGGTTTTCATAGGCATTTTTGGGCAATCCTTCTCGGTGACGGCGCCACGCCTTGGTAGAATCGACACCTATCCGCGGGAGGGCTACTTTACAACTGCGGCCATGGCTGAGGGGGCCATCGACGGCTCAGCCGAGACGTACCAGGTCACAGGTCCGTTTGATACGCACTTTGCTTTCTCGCGATTCGATGCCCCATACGAGACGAGCTTGCGCCCAGAGCTGATTTTAGCGCAGCAACCATCTCAAGTGGCGAGAGATGCGGCTGCCACCGACTGATGTGTCGTCGCAGTTGACGTGTACGAGAGATGTGAGAGAGCTGGGAGGGGAGGGCGTGGATCGGGGTGTGTGAGGGGGGAGACGAGAGCGCGCCTAGACGTGGTCCTGAGATGTATGTGGTATGCGTCCCCCTAACGGTAACGCACTGCCCCCACCTTTCTCTAGTAGAGTGGCTACGAGATGTGTATGTAGGGAGTAGAAGCAAAGAGGAGCCCCGCGCATGCACGACTCCGCAGGAGCGAAACCTCCCTCGAGCGGAGTCCCGTCGCCGTCCTTTCGCGCCGTGCTTGCGCAGCGCAGCCCTCACACACCTGGCCCCTCGCTTTCACGTTTTTGGATATTCCGTTCATGGCTTACTGGACACGGCCACCGAGAAGTTACGAGCAGACGTCTTCCGGACGCGGCCCTCTAAGCGCGCAGGGAGGTTGACAAATGGGCGAGGCGGAGGGGTGACGGGAGGCCAACACGGCTGGCCTCACGCCGGGAAAGGCGATCCACCTTCATTCGCTTCGTCTCGGTCATGAACTGCGCTAGCGGTGAGTGGTCGAGGCTTTTTTGTGCCACCTCGCCCACGAGATTCATCAAGCCCGAGTGGCGCCCCAGGAAGGTGCAGAATTCGTCAAAGTCCAGAATGTGGTTTTCGTCGAGGTCGTTTGCTGCGAAGGCGGCCTCGAGCTCCAGCTCGCTGATGGGCGCCGCACCGCGGCGCCTGCTCGCAGAGTGGTACGCGACGATGCGCTTGAGCGCGGCAAGCGTGACACCGCCATCGGCATCCAAGTCGCAGGTGATGAACGCGAGCTGTTGGGAGGTGCGGGTAGAGTTAGCCGGCTGGGCGGGCGTTGCGCTTTGTTGGGCTACTCGCTGTGGCGGCTAGTCGCTGAGCGATCATCACCTTAAGCTGGTCGAGCGGGTCGCATTTGCGCGATAGGACGGCGAGGCCCTGGACCAGCTCGGCAAACGAGATCTCTCCAGAGTCGTCGTTATCGAAGAGTCGAAAGAGCCGTCGTACCAGGCTCACGTTGTCTCCGCGCCACCCATGCAGATAGGGAGAGTCCCTGCGGCGTGACTGGTAGTGCTTCTGACGTCGGAGGCGCGCGATGCCATGCTTCAGATGCCCAAAGAGCCCCTTCATGAGGCCTGCCGCGCCTCTCGCGGCACCCGCCGCCTTCGCCACGCCCGCATCGAGCAGCTCAAGAGCGGAGCTCGACTTCGGCGACGAGGCAGCCCCAAACTCCTCCTCCTCCTCCTCCTGGTCGAGCGCGGCCTGAGGGTAGTGGGGCAGACTTCAGCGCGATCCCACGGACTAGCGGGCCGCCCGCTCGGGAGGGCTTGCGTTGCGCGCGCGGTCGCTGGCGCACCATGAACTCCTCGAAGTTGAGGGTGCCCGAGCCGTTGAGGTCGAAGGCGTGAAATCGGCGGAGCAGGTTGCAGAGGCCCTTGGTGTCCAGGTCGAGGATCGGCGCCAGCTGCTTGACCTCGAAGGTCTGCGCCACCTCTCGCCCGCCCTCGTGCGCCACCAGGGAGAGCCACGCATCCTCGTACGAGTGGCCAGTGCATGGCACCCCGAGCGCCTCTGCCATCGCCGCGCGCACGTTCGACGCAAACAGGCGCGGGTCGGCGAGCTCCTCGTCGGTCGGAGCGTGCGGGGGCAGGTACTCGACAGTGAGCGAGTTTGCAGGCTGCAGCATTGCGTACAGGAAGATCTCGTACCCCCGCACCGCGCTCGACACGTCGACGGGTGTGTGGCCGTATCGGAGCAGCACCGGCTGGACCGGCTGGCCCACTCCAAAGGCGCCTGCCTTGAACTGGATGAGCGCCGCGCCGTTGGTGGTGGTCCCCTCGGGGAAGACGAGCAGGGGCGGCCAGCCGGGCTCCCGGCACCGAGCGCGAATCGTCTCCGCCGCCTTTGCGCGCGACTCGGCGGTCTGGCGGTCCACAAAGATGGATTGCATCGCCTTTGCCACCCGGCCAAAGATTGGGATCTTTGCGATTGCAGACTTGGAGAGGGCCATCGGCATCTCCTGGTACGTCAAGAAGAACATGTCGATGAGCGAGTAGTGCGGCGCCGCCACCAGCACGCGCGGCCGCTCTCTCAACGCTGCCGGGTGCTTGAGGACCGGCACCCACCAATAGCCTAGGCACCAGAGGGCGACGCGAGAGAGCAGCCGTACCGGATAGATCACCGCGCGCCGCGCTGGGCCGAGCGGACGCGTCTCATCCGCTCCGATGGTGGCGACCACCGCGAGCGTCCCCACCACCGGCAGAGAGACGAGGAGCACCGCCACTCGCAAGGGAAAGAGCGTGACGCTGCACAGAGCCATGCGCAGGTAGTCGCCCTTCGAGAAGCTGAGCGGCCGCTTGCCAAACGGGTTGGTCACACGGGGCACCCGCTCGGCGATGTGCACCCTGGAGCTCGACTCCCGTTTCGCAACCTGCAGGGCGCGCCTCGGGCGCGCGGGGATCCCCGGACGGTGGGCCGGCCACACCAGGTACGTGGCATAGGCGTAGGCGACGAGGCTGGCGGCGATGGCGGCCCAGCCGCTGTCCAAGCGCGAGGCCGCCTGCAGAAGCGATCGCTTCGTGGTGGACACGAAGCCCTCGGCGATTCGCTGCCACGCGGCGAGCATGGCGCCAGAGGACGGACGACGGCCGATGAGTGTAGTTGGCTGGGGATCGGTGAGCGACTTTCTTTTTCGCATCTCGTGCCCATAGATGGGGGTCTGTTGACCACGGTGACGCCCTATGCAATAGGTAGGTAGGTCCGGTTTTCCGCCCCAGAGAAAGAAAGAAAGAAAGAAAGAAAACACACAACCCAAGGGAGGGATGGGAGAACGGCACGCCGCCACCACACAGGGATTTTAAGGAGAGGAGTGTGGTGCGCTAGCCGTCGCCCACCCTGGGGAGTCTGCCTCTTCGTATCTCTTTTCGCAGTCTCTCGCCGCTTCTCGCTGCAACCTTCATGCCACCTCAGAGAAAAAGAAAGAAAGAAAGAAAACAGACAACCCAAGGGAGGGATGGGAGGACGGCACGCCGCCACCACACAGGGATTTTAAGGAGAGGTGTGTGATGCGCTAGCCGTCGCCCACCCTAGGGAGTCTGCCTCTTCCTATCTCTCTTCGCAATCTCTCGCCGCTTCTCGCTGCAGCCTTCATGCCACCTCGCGGTCGTCCCACTCTCGTCGTTCTCTCCCTTGTCATTTCCTCCTCTGTCGCGTCGTTCTCTTCTGTCTCGTCCTGCGACGCAGAGAAGGCCCTGCAACAGTAAGTGCCGCGTCTTTTTTCGCTTCGCTGCACGGCCTGCGGAACCGGAGGTGCTTTGCCTTGCTTGCTTTGCCAACCCCATACGTGTGTATGCTATTCCTGCTCGCCGCATCGCCGCCGCCGCTCCGGCGCGCTCCGCCGGTCATGCTAAGCTCCGCGACGACGGCCAAGTCGGCGCTGCGCGCTGCATTGGCGGCCTCGGACGGAGAGCCCAAGGCTCCGGAGGTGCTGGCAGCCATCACAGAGCTGGAGCCGTTTAGTATACCCGAGCCGGCGCTATCGCCGCTGTGGGCCGGCGACTGGCGGGTGATCACCAAGCCCGACTTTCCTGACTCGCTTGGCCGGGACGCCGCCGGCCGTTACAAGTTCTCGCTCGGCCGGGCCTCGTTCAACATGTTTGCACCGCAGATGCTGCCGGTTGCCATCGACTCGATCCTCAACCCGTCGTCCGCGCCGGCTCCCGGCTCGCCCGGGGCATACGAGGTGATCGTCAAGTTGGACTTGCTGCTTCCCGACGCGTCGCCGCTGGCCGCAACCATGGAGAACGTCGCTGAGTGCACGCCGGTCGACGGCAACCCGGGACGAATGGCCGTCAAGTTCGGCGGCGGCTGCCTCAGGCCGGCGGACGGCGCACCCTCCGAGGCGTGGCGCGACACCTTTGCCGCGCCGGGCTCGAGCGCCGATCTCTCGCGCATGCAGCGCTTCCAGTTGTGGGTGGCGGTGAGTGGCCACCACAGCAGCTGCACGTCCCTTGCTCCCAGCCCCAACTGCCCAGCCCGTCTCGCCGCTCATGCCTGTGTGCTTGCGACTGACGCAGCGTCGGCTCTTCGGGCTGCGGCGAGCGGAGGAGGTCGCCGCCGACGGCACCATGACGTACGAGATGCCCCGGGCGCCAGAGGGCTACCTCGACATCCTCTTCCTCGACGAAGACCTGAGGGTGACGCGCGGCAACAGAGGCTCCATCGTCATCGCCGAGCGGCTGCCGGGCTGATGCGCCGAGGGGCCATGGGCGGAAGCGTGCAGCGTGTGGTACACGAAAAAAGGAAGAAGGCACAAACAGCGAATGGTTAGAATATGTGTGGTTTTGCTTCGATAAATGTGGAGAAGCGACAAAAGCGAGCGGCGTGTGGTATGAAGAAAGGAAGTAGGCAAACAGCGAATGTGGAGAATATGTGGTTTTGCTTCGATAAAGAAAGAAAACAGACAACCCAAGGGAGGGATAGGAGGACGCTGGACGGCACGCCGCCACCACACTTTGCTTCGACAGAGATTCGAAGCGTCCCGCCCTACGTCAGTAGGTCGAGGTCCGGGCTCCCCTACTCCCATGTTGACGAAGTAGACAGCTCCTTCCCGAGCATTGAAATGTGTGCAGAGGGCCTGGTAGATGACCGGACCAAAGCACTGCACACCGGAACCAAACACTGCATGCACTTGCCCGCTTCCGGCCCCGCTGTGCTCTTGGAATGCAGGTTGCAGCGTTGCATGGCACAGGCAGTGCGGCAAACGCTGATGCTCGGTCATCATCACCTCCGTGCTTGTCCCTGCAGCCATACCGCGTCAGTTAGCACTGTAGGCGAGAGCACGCCGAGCACCGCACTCTTGTTGCAGCTGCCGAGGGTTGCACGCGTAACTGCTGTGGGCGCCCGCGAGAGGCGCGCCATGTTTTGTTCTCGGTATTGCAATATGAAAGAAAAGATGCCCGCTCTCCCGCGGAGCACAGGGAGTTGTGTGGTGGCGGCGCCTGTTTTCTTTCTTTCTTTAGAGAATTACGCGCAGTAACTCCAATCACGTAGAACTCCAATTAAACAAAAACTCAGGCGAAGAAGAATCTGGCATAGCGTGAAAGCCCCGCGAAGCGTTCACCGTCGTCTTGTATTCCAAGCACTTGGAGCAAGCATAAATTAAAATTCTTCTGAGTCTGCTGTGAGACAGGCTGGGGACGGCGGTGCTGATAGTGGTGGCTGTGAGTCGCTCGCCGGATGCGCGAATAGGAGGCTCTCGGGCGGCGTGGCGTGGGGGGTGGGCGGTCGCGCGGTTCCGGCCTCGGTCGAGTCGGGGGGCCGGTCAGGCGAGAGGCTGGCAGCCACCGTCTCGGCGCCGCACCGCAGGCACTGGTAGGACGATTGCGTTATCCCGCAGCAGATCCGGCCCACCCCGAAAGAATGGGCCTCCGCATCGTTCCAGACCTCATGGGTACAGTCAGGCAGGTGGGACGAGAGAGGGAAGAGCACGGCGATCAGCGGGTCACAGAGCTGGACGATGGCGTCCAAGCGCAAGGCGGCCGCCGAGCATACGGAGGCGCAGCAGCCAGGCGCCGGCCGGAGCATGCGGCAGCGCAAGAATCAGGGCCCGTACGTGGACGACGACCCCAGCCTGCTCGCGTCGCTCGCGTATCTCGAGGCGGAGCACACTGCCCGCCCGTACCGCGTCGACCAAGAGGCGGCCACGATGGCGGGCTTGCAGCCGCACAAGCTGCACCCGTTCGAGCGTGCGTGCACCGCGCTCCCCGCCAAGCTCAAGCAAAACGCCGCCCGGCTCACCACAATCCGCAACCACATCCTCGGTCGGGCTCAAAAGACACCATCCAAGTTCCTCACGCTTGCGGACGCGATCCGCGGGCTGGGGAGCGAGTTTCGCGGCTCGGGGGCGCACGCCGCGGATGCCGCCTCCGTCTACACCTGCCTCAATCACCACAACTACATCAACGTCGGAGTGATGGACGACCACCCGCAGCGGCTGCTCGGCCGCGCCGGCGGGGGGTGCGCTGCGGGCTTTCCTGAGGGCACGCGGCTGAGGGTAGTGGTCATCGGCGCCGGCGCGTCGGGGCTCGCGGCAGCGAGGCAGCTCGCCCTGCACGGGCACGAGGTGATCGTCCTTGAGGGGCGAGAGCGGATCGGTGCGCGGAGAAGTGCAGGTGCGGGTGCGGCCGCAGACCCGCCCGCACACGAGGGCATGGGTGTGCGTCTAGGCGGGCGGGTGCACACGGCGAGCGTGCGGGGCGCGAGCGTCGACCTCGGCGCCATGGTCGTGACGGGCGTGCCCGGCAACCCGATGGCGGCGCTCGCGCGGCAGACAAAGTGAGCGGGAGGCCGAGGGGGAGAGAGGCCGAGGGAGAGAGAGGCCGAGGGGGAGGGGGCTGCGGGCCAGTTCATGCGCAGCCTTGCAGCCTCTCGCCACCGCTTGGGCGCAGTCTCGAGGCGGGACGAGGGCGCCTCACTCCTCGCTGCCGCGGCTAGGTCTCGCATGCACCTCATCTCGAGAGGATGCCGCATCTACGCCGCCGACGGGCGCAGCCCTCCGGCCGAGCTTCTGCCCGGGCCCCGAGGTGCCGTGGGGTGAATCGAGATTGCCCGAGCTGTAGGCAGCCCGTGGACGACGAGCTCGACACGGCGGGGAGGCAGCGGCGGGGACGCGGCCAGAGGGCCGCCCTCCTCGCGACGCGTCCCCGACACGTGCCCGTAGGCGATGGAGCAGGAGTGGAACGGCCTGCTGGATGAGTGCAAGGCGACTTGCCGCCCCGAGCCGGCGCCCGACGCATCGCTCGGCGCGACCCTGCGCAGGATGGTGCGCGAGCGGCGCGAGAAGTGGCGCGCGGCGCTCGACGAGCGGCCCGCGGCACGCACATGCCGTGCACGCGTCTCTTTTGCTGCGCGGTAGGCGCGGCCTAGCGCAGCGGATCTCGGCGGCGCGCGCCGAGAGCGGCGTCGCGCGCGCGCGGGACGAGGCGGGAGCGTGCGCCGTCTCTCCACACCGGTGTGAGGAGTGCAAGCAGTGCTTCCTCACGGTGGACAAGCTCGACCGCCACCGGCTCTGCTGCTTGCCCGACCCGTCCGGCGTGGTCGTGCGCTCGGAGAAGGCCTTCTCGGGCTACGAGGGCGTCGTCTCGTCTCAGATCCGAGACAAGTGGGAGGCGTTCCTCGTCTCGGACCACGGGTACGGCCGCAAGCGGCGCCGCATCGGCGAGACGTACGAGACGGCCGAGGCGGCGGCGCGCGCCTACGCCACCGCGTGCCGGGAGATGCTGCACGCCGAGGCGGCGGCGCAGGCGGAGGCGGCGGCGCAGGCGGAGGCGGCGGCGCAGGCGGAGGCGGCGGCGCAGGCGGAGGCGGCGGCGCAGGGCGAGCCAGAGGTCGAGGCGCGGCCTTACGACGGCGGGCCGGCGGCCGGCGCCCCCGCAGTCTCGGCTGAGCCGCAGCCCTCTCGGCCGTAGGTGGCTAGCCAGGTAGGCCACAGCCAAGGAGACTTACCGCCGCCGGAGCCGCCGCCGCCGGAGCCGGAGGGAGAAGTTGTGCGGCCGAAGTCTGAGCCGGCGGCGCCGTCAGCGCCGGAGGAGGCGCCGGCGCCGACAATGCCGGAGGAGGCGCCGGCGCCAACGGCGACAGAGGAGGCGTCGTTTCTGTCGGCGCCGCCATCGCCGCCGGCCGACGACGAGGTTGGCGCGGGAGGCGGCGGGCGGGTGCAAGAAGAGTCTCTTTCTCGCTCGGAGGCGGGGGCGGAGTCGGAGCGGGAAGGCGGTGCTCAGACGGCGGCAGGAACGGCAGCGGGCGGCGCCGAGGCGGGAGGGAGCGGCGGCGCAAGTATGGGAGGGAGCGGCGGACGAGGCGGCGGCATGGCGGGCGATGCACCGCCCGGGTTGCCGTCCGCCGCCGCCCCCAAAGGGCCGCCGGAGGCCGCGTCCGCTCCGGCCCCGCCTCGTGTGGAGGCCCCGCCTGCGGCTCCCGCCCCCGCGGCGTCGGGCGGGAGGACCGCAGGGAGGACCGTCTCGTTTAGCTGCTCGAGCTGCGCCAAGAAGCTCATCCTGCGCCTGAGCGCCTCGCAGCTCGCCTCGCCCACGCCCATCACCTGCTCGTGCTCGAGCTGCGGCTCCGTCTTGAAAATCAACCTGCCGCCCTCCGACAAGGCGAAGCCGAAGCCGCCGCCGCTGCCACCGCCGAGCGCCGCGGCGCCGGGGCCGTCTTCGCTCCGCCCCCCGCCCGCGCCCAAGCCGGCCAAGGGCGGCGCAGCGCCGAGCGCGGCGCCGAAGACGGTTGAGCGCACCTTCCAGTGCTCGTGCGTGAGCTGCGGCGCCAAGCTCCGCTTCACGCTCTCCTGCCCTCCCAACGCGTGCACCGCCTCCACCAAGTGCGCGATGTGCCACGCCGAGCTGCGCGTGCGCATCCCCTCGCTCAAGCCGCCCGCGCCAGGCGCCGATCCGTCCCCCGGCGCCAGCAGCGAGCGGACCCGCGCGTGGGCGTGCGGCGTGCGGGACGCCGCCTTCGCCGAGGAGGAGCGGGAGGACACGGAGGCGCCGCTGCCGCTGCCCGAGGCGCTGCTGCACTGGCATTGGGCCAACCTAGAGTACGCCAACGGGACGCAGCTCCACTCCCTCTCCAACCGCTGGTGGGACGCCGACGACGAGTTCGACTTCGGAGGCGGCCACTACCTGCTGCCCGACGGGTACGGCGGGCTGCTGCGCAAGGTGTGCACGGCCGCACCACCCACGGCCCGCACGCGTCCCACTTACCGGCGCGCCCCAGACCTCGCACCCCCCCCCCCCCTCCCCCCAGGTGGCTGCTGGCCTCGACATCCGGCTTGGGCACGAGGTGAGGGCGTCTCGAGAAGGGGCGTCCGTGACACAACGACGCGCCCGTGACACGCCCCCCCCTCCCCTCCCCAAGGTCAAGACGGTCAAGAAGGAGCCGCGCGGCGTGCTCGTCGAGGCGGTCAACGGAGGCAGCCCGGTCATCTTCACGGCGGACGTCGCCATCTGCTCGCTCCCGCTGGGCGTGCTCAAGGCCGGCGCGGTGGTGTTCGAGCCGCCGCTCCCGCCGCGCAAGCAGGAGCCGCGCCGCGCCGCAGCTGCCGCGCCGCTCCTCTGCCCCTCCGGGATCTTGTGGAGCCGCACGGCCAGAGAGCCTTCTCAGCCGCTCCCCGCCGCCGCGCAGGAGGCGATCGAGCGACTCGGCTTCGGGTCGCTCAACAAGGTGCTGCTCGGCTTCGAGCGGCCCTTTTGGGAGGAGCGCGAGGGCGGCCGCGACTTTTGGGGGTGGACGGCGCCCAACGGGCGCAGGCGCGGCGAGGCCTTCCAGTTTTGGAACCTGCAGCGCTCCACGGGACGGCCTCTGCTGCTGGTGCTCCACGCCGGCCGCGCGGCGCTTCGCAAGGCGCGCGCCCCTCTGCGCGAGGCGCCCGGTGGGCAAGAGGCACCGCCGCCCCTCCAGCCGCCCCCCGTCGCCGCCGGCAGGAGGACACGCGCGAGGAGGCGAAGGAGGCCGCCATCCGCGCGACGATGGACGCTCTGCGCGCCATCTTTGGGGAGGAGGCCGTGCCGGCGCCGACGCTCAAGCTGGCCACCCAGTGGGAGCACGAGCACTTTTCGCGCGGCGTCTACTCGCACGTCGCCGTCGGCGCGACGGCGCGCGACTACGACGTGCTCGCCGAGCCGCTGTGGGGCGACTCGCTCCTCTTCGCGGGCGAGGCGACCTCGCGCGAGCACCCGGCGACGGTTGCAGGCGGCCCGGTCCACGCATGGCGCGCGGCCCACCGCCTCCAGCGCTCCTTCAGGCGTCCGTCTGCGCGCGAATAGGTGCCTTCCTCAGCGGCTTGCGCGAGGCCGGCCGGATTGATTGCGCGCTGCACCCGAAGCTGCCGACGCAGCCGGCCGCCGCGCTGGCGCGGCGAGGCAGCGCGCCACGGCCTCCGGCAGCGGCGCCCGCGCCGCCCGCGCCGCCCGCGCCGCCCGCGCCGCCCGCGCCCGCCGCGCCAGTGGCGCCCGCCGCGGCAAGCCCCGCGCCCGCCGCGCCCGCCGCCCCAGTGGCGTTGGAGCGTCCTGTGGCAGCGGAGCGCCCGGCCGCTGTGCCTGCGCTGCCCGTTGCGCCGCCGCCCGCCGGGTTTCCTGATGCACTGGCGGCCGCGTCGAGCACGCAAGCCGCGCCGCAAGTTGCTGTCGCGGCGGGAGAGCCGCGCCCCGGCGTGCTCTCTGTTGGGTAGGCACGCGACGCGGCACAGGGGCAGTGCCAGGCGCGCGTGCGCGCGCGATCTGCCGCGAGGCGTAATCTCATGGCATGCGGTGTGCGCATACTTCATACTACAATGGAGCTGTCCGGCTGTTCGCAGAGAGGGAGGACGATCCAGCGCGATACCTCATACAGATACACATACGTACTTCGGACGGAACGTCGTGTTGTTGGGCCGTGTCGCGCTGACTAGAGGTCGGCTATTCGTGAGACCGTGTTGGTTCATGGTTGGCCGCGAGAGATCTAGCTCCCGAAAGGCGAAACCGTCGAGCCGTAGAGACAAGAGAGCTCTAGCGCTCCCGAAACCGTCGCGCGGGAAGCGGGATCGGGGGTGTCAACATACAACAACACGACGTTTCCCACGACACAGAGAGGCGACCGCGTGGCACGTGCATCGTGCTGCATGTGGCACTTAAACTTACTGACAGACAGGGCCGGGGGGGGGCGCGGGGGGGGGGGGGGGGGCCCCTACCCCCCTTGCACCTGAAGGGGGGAAGTCCGAACCGCGTGGCTTGTGTGGCCGCCGAGGCAATCACTACACTGCCTGGATTCGCCTTGCAAGCCTCGTCGGACTCGGAGGTGCCAGATGGCCCCAGATCACTCCTCCCGAATTGGCGATTAGACGATGCACTTGTAATGCCAGACGCCGGTCTGGTCCCCATCGCGCCATGGAGCGAAAAGTTCCGTTGTGCCGGGGCAGCAGTCGACGTGGGTGTCGGTAAGGTACGGGTCAAAGCCCGCAGGAGTGCACGCGGCAGGTGGGGGAGGCGGGGGCGGTTGGATTCCGAAGGAGTCTTGGAACGCCCTCACCTTCTGATTGGCGATCCGTACCTTCTTTCCCAGATCGATGAAGACGGTCCGCGCGTTCTCGGGTAGATCAGGCAGGGCATCGTAGATCTCAAGAACCGGGTCGTACAGATCGTTCAGTATGTCGTGCTCAATATTCTCACCGGTCAGGTAAAAGGGCGCCGTCACAGCAACGGCCGTAATCTCGTCTTGCTGGGCGGGAGAGAGCGAGTCGATCCAACCATCCGGTCTCGCAATTTTTGCGTTGCAGTCGAAGGAATTCAGCGGCACGGAGTCGCTCGCTCGGAGTCCGGAACAGTACTCTTGCAACTTAGTCAGTCCATCCTGCAGGAAGTGGACCTCAACCCATAGCGTGAAGATGTCAGCAGGAACTGTTGGTACTTGAGGAAAATCTCCACCATCTGGAACAAGCATGAGCGCTTCCTGATATGATTTGCAATCGGCGATAGATAGAATCACCTTGTGTCGATTTGCCTTCGGGTCCGTGAAATTTGAAAGGTGGAAGATGTAGTCGCCAAGTGCCTCAATGGAGTCATTCGGCGGATCCGATGTGACTCCATTTGTTGCAATTATACTTCGTGACATCCCTTCCCGCCGCTTCCGTGCTTACCAATGCGCTAAAGTCAGCTGAGCCCCCAACGGTCGTACCGTACCCGGTGTATGCGGCGGATAGAGCGGCACCAATCTCTTCCCGTTTCTTGCTGTCGTATTCGGTGATTTGAACTTTCGCAGTGGCTGAAGCAAAAGCGTAATATCCCGAGATGAAATGGGTGCCATGTTCGTCGTGCCACTCCTTGGAGCCCTCCTGGGATCTTCGCTTTATCTTTCAGCTCTCGTTCCACCGATTCCAAGAACGGCTGGCCATTTGCCAGAATCTCCTTGCACCTAGGTCGCCCGGTCATATTCCACCCACGCGTTGGTCTTGAGCAGGACGGACGACGAGGAGCCGCTCTGAGTGGAGCTAGTAGAAAACGAGGCCCTCATCTTTGTGCCCCACCCACCCAGAGGCTTGAAGGTCTGCATCTGCTTTGACCGATTGTGTGTATCCCTCCGATTCCGTGATGACATGCTGCGTGTAGGGATCCCTAGCGCGTTGACACGGCATTTGTTTCGGGTTCTTTTAAGTTCTGCTCGCATCTCAAGGTAGAAAAAGGCCGGAATCTTTTCCGCGCCATCGGGAAAGCTGATTGATTGATTGAAGTGCACATGTCTGGATCCTTTGCCCTTCGTTTTTGGAAACGATGTCTGACGGTTTCGTAAATGGGCACGCTGGCAAGAATGGATGCAATCAGCGCGTTGTTTTCGGATTGGGCGTCAGGGTTGAGCGGCGGCGGCGGCGGAGGGAGCTTGTGTCGGTCGTCGCAGTGTCGCGAATGTCGATATCAACGCCTGAGGGTGTGTGCGAACGGGGGGGGAGTCAATGGGAGCTGAGGCGACGCCACGGAATACCAGGAGCCCGGCACGGGAGGAGACTACGGGAGGGACTAGGTCGGGACGCACGCTGTGTGGTTGGAGCGGCGAAGCTGGTGGCAGCGAGGGCCGCAGCGAGTACGACCAACTTGGCGAACGCCATGGAGCGTCCGAGCACGAGACCCGTATGTCGTGTCAGAAGGAGGAGAGTCGGAGGACCCGTCGTCCTGCACGCAATTTTACTGATGATTACTCGTCCCGTTACGCCCTCAGAAAAATAAAAGTGCGCTTTCACGTGTCAGGTAGACCTCACGTGCAGCGGTCACTCTCTGTGTATGTGTGTGGACGAAGAACAAAGATGAGAGAAGTACACGGCACGCACGCATGGGCCGCACTACTCGAGTAGAGGGTGTGGACCGTGAGTTGTTGACGGAAATCGAGGGACGCGACCCACTTCGCACAGACGGTCCCGCCCGCGCCTCGCCGCCATGACGGGTACACGACCGCGGCTCGTGTGCGTGTACCGTCTTTGTCCGGAGTGAAAAGTCCAACGCGCTCGTCGGTGGCGGCTTCCCTCAACCTGCGCTGCGCTCGGCGAACCTCGACAGCGCCTTCGGTGGCATGCAGCTCTTTGCGCCTGAAGCCTGGAGAGCAGCTCCTCTGCTGCTCACACGCTCTGCACAGATGGCACAGCCTCCGTGCGGCTGCCACAGCTGTGACAGCGATGGTCCCGCCCTCACTGGCCCTCAGTCACTTGTGCTGCGGCTTGTGTGAGCGACACTGCTCGGCGACTGCCGGCACACTGTGAGACCATGGGTGTCAGGTAAAACCACGCTACCAGCGCTTGGGGTCACATCGGCCCCGAGGTCAGATCCTTCTACTCTGTTGATGACCAAGACTTGTCTACTCGCTGGAGCCGAGCAGGAGGGCCCAGCGCACAACCCCAGTGCAACTCAGGGTCCACACCCCGCTAGAGCTGTGCGCTGACGAGTGGTCGGGGCCCGCACGAGAGGCAGATTTTGTGTATCTCCCGGAGCAGGCGGACATCGCTTCCAGGGAGGGGGGCGCCCTTCTCTCCCCG